AAACTGGGAGACCAACAATGGTTGGCCACTCCTCTCAAGACATGATATACAGCGCATAATGTAAATATGTAAATAACCTCAAATTACGAGATGTAAACTTTATGAATACAGGTAGTAAGAAAAAAAAATAAAAAATCATATTGAATCTTGGAAGTTTGTTAATTGAAAATAACGAAGAAAGTATAAAGAAAATTCTAGTAAAATTAGACATTTTTACATTGCATATCGACACAAATATACATTTTAAATTCATCTAAACATTAATAATTATATATAACAGCCTAAATTAATAACCGTTTATAAAAGTAGCATCGCAAGTACCGTTTTATGGACCACCTTTTTCAAGCATTTTTCCAAATTTGTTTTCATCCCTAAGCATCGAAATTATTGAAAAATCATTTTTTTGAGTTTACTAACCAAAAATATTAAAAAATTGGTGATTATTAATTACCATATGATACTGTGTTTACCAAATATATTTAATGAGAAATGTAGATACGACAAATTTTAAAGCATTATTACCGCAATGCTTGTAAATTACACTCAAAAACAACAAACCGGACAGTTGTATTTATTTGTTTATTTTCCATAATAACAGCTATAATAAATAATTAATAGTTATTAGTATATGTAAACACAACATTAATAACTTGCAATTAATTAAGGTTTTTACTTGAGATAAAAAGTCAGTGTCACGAGCGGGATTCGAACTCACGACCCTCGGCTAGATTCGCCGCTACTAAAAACTAGTGAAATTAATAACTTGTTTAGTTTTACAGTGTTACTAGTCTTTTTACATCTTTAGAGTATAAATAAAGAAAATCAATTCAGTTTCGTCCTTTTCATAGCTATCTTGTCGAGGGAGTTAATTGGACTTTTAAATGGTTTTCTTTGATGAAAGAATACATTTATGTAAAAACCTTTTTTTTTGTAAAAGTATGGTTTCAATTCAAGAACATCTCGCCCGGGAAGATGCTTTGGCCAACGACGGCCGTTACATACTCCAAGTGGGTGTGCCGTGTTCTACCCTCGATGATTGACGTTCAGGGCTACGCCTTGATTGAAGAGAGTATAATGGTCGTGATCGTGATGCATGACGGCTAGAGACGATTCTTTTATTACTTTTACCCACTGCCGCCATTTAACGGCTTCCTTTATAGGTAGTCAACTTCAAACGGTCTCTAATGTAAGGATGAGCTCTAAAACAGCCATCAGAAGGCTTCGTAAGAAAGTCATACAGCATAAGTTTTTCTACTAAGAAAGGCATTGAGTGGAAAGGCGACTATTCGAAAATTATCATCTCGATTGAACGTTTCAACAACGGGAACTATTCTCTTCACAGAAGAGTGCGGATTGGTTTGTGACAATCAGATACCTGTGCCGTTTTTGAACAAGACGTGGAGAACACTATGCTTCACGTGCCTAGCTTAAGTCACAGCCTTTTCAAAGACAGTCAGTTACGGTAAAGGGAAAATCAACCTCCATGCACGCACCGAAGTGAGCATACGGAATGGATCTTGGTCCTTTTGTAGTTATATTTATTTATGGTTTTATCGGTCAACTTAACCAAAGAATGCTTTAATTTCATTTTTATGCAATTGATTCATTATTAATATATCAGCTTCATTTTGCATAAAGATAATTAATCAATTACTTGAAAATAAAATAAAAATAAATTTTGGTTAAGATCATTAACATAAACTTACATAAATATAAATTTAAGACAATATAGTTTAAAAAAAAGAATTAATTTTTATTATATATATTTTTTTCCTAAATAGGACAAATAGGTTTAAAGGACGTTGTTGAAATGATGTTGGACGTTTTCCGTCGAAATGGATACAGAAAGTGACACTAAATTTGCAACAGAAAAGCCTAGTTTAAAATATTAGTATTTACTCGAACACGTCACTGTTTAGAATGGAACTTTGAATATCGGTTGAAGAGCGTTGGAGGGGAAAGGTGATAGTCATTGGTTTGGTTTGGGTGACAGTTGTATTTTTGCCGGTTGAATATCTGTTGGAGGCGGCTCCGGTATCTGTGACACTTGCCACCCCTTCTCCGTCCTAATTGAATGAAGGGGTTCCTCCGTATATCTACCCCCTCGTAGTCTACCCCCTCATTGTCTACCCCCCTTATCGCCGGGCCATTGTTGACACCAGGACAAACTTTCCTGGACGACAGTCAATTGGGACCCACCTTTACCCCGTATCAACGGCCACCCCCGGCCCGGTGTTGTTCGGGGATTCTCTTTAATACCATACAAAACGTCATTATATTTCAGGGATTACTAGCTTATCCGCTTTTCTGCAAAGAATGCCCCCATTAGAAAGTGTTTTCCTTTTTCCATTTTCGTTTTAGTGCAGAAAAAACTACTTGTGCAATGTCAAGTTATTAAAAGATCATACTGGAAAAGCACTCATTTCACCAAGAAATTTCGACGGATATTTTAAAAGTTTAGCGAAACGAGGATATTTTTGTAAATAGAAAATCATTTCATTCTGCATAAATTATAAACTGCTGAACTTATCAAAATTTATTGGGTTCGTAAACTTTAGCGGGTTAATGTTTCACTCAATATTTCGCTTCACGTCTTCTTCAGTGAGAAACAATTTCTAAAGTAAATTGATCAGTTAAACATGCGCCTTCCTGCAGACCAACAACTACAACCAACTTCAAAAATATACTGCAAGAAAAACATTTCAAAACTACAAATTTATCATCGAAGTCCTACAAACTAATTATATTTCAAATATATTGTTTAAAAACTTTTAATAATTTGTATTGTAATATCGAACATTGCAAGTAATCAAAAAAAAATTTAATTCCGAAAAATATTTTTATTAATTATATATTTTTATTATATATTTTATATATTTTTGTATATAATTTATATATTTTTAGTTTTAAAATGAAGTTAACAAACAAATTTAGACATGACAATTTCAGGAAATTAGGAAAAACTATAAATGTCACCTACGTATTTTGTATAATTATTGAGAAGTCGTGAGATGCGGTCTGGTGTGATGTAGGTTTCAGAAAAACATTTTCTTTATCGTGCCAACGTTTCGATCTTTATTGAGATCATCTTCAGGGCCTGGGATTTACAAACATGTTTACATTTAACAAATACGTGTAGGATGTGGAGAAGAGTGAATTTATACAATGCAAAATATATTTTTTTATATTCAATCAAAGTATTTCACTAATCACCACACATTTTGGATAATCTAAAAGCGTTTCTGATATCCACATTAAAGTGACAAAATAGCAACAGGACTGATAGGAAACATGTTTTGTTGTTTTAGTGGCATTTTTAGGCAACGGGCAACATACAGACCCAAATCCAATTTGCAGCATAAATTTTAGCCATATTAAAAAAAAAAATTAAAAAAATTTATAAATGACCCCTTGGTTACTAAACAACGTAAGATATAAGGAAATCAAATCACAGAAATGAGGCAAATAAAAATACCACTTGCGAAAACAACTCAGTGAGAGAAAAAATAAATCCTACTCAATAGAGTTTTTTAAATTACATATATTTGATATTTCCAACTACAAATATTGTATTAAGTAAACATGTCCATATATGCTGAATTTGTCATTTAAACCTTTTGTAAGAAAAGTTGGCAACACTCCTTCACATTGAAAACTCTTCCATCTTCACTCAATGACATGGTCTCCGGGTCGCTTTCGCTTATTCTTGGAGAATTTTCCGGTAGGGTTGGAAGTGATAACTATTGCACAAATAGATTATTTGGTATGTTCAGTAATTAATGAACTTTTTTTAAAGCGGATTTTGATGATTTCATGTACAAAATGTGTAAGTAGTTATGAATAATATAATTTACAACATAAAAGAGCATTTATCATGCGATCGAAAATTTTGATTAAATTGGAATCCTTCGTCGAGTACATATTTAACAACCGCATTCCCAGAGATGTCTTATTATTGTCTTGTAAATTAAAAGTTAGTTTAATTTAATTTTAATCGAAACTACTAAATTTTAATCCATTTCATTGATTAGTGTAGCGTAGCTCGTCTTCTCTAACGGCGCGGAGGGCCAACACTTCTTCAACACTCGCCGGTCTTGCGGGTTTAGTATACAGAATATCACATAGGACGCCGTGTTTGCAAACATCTAGTTACAGAGAGAAAAAAAAGGCATTTTCTTCTGTAAACGGTAATTATACAAAGAAAGCGATTTAAAAAATCCAAATAAAAGTATTTTTTTGTTTATAATTTTATAAAACTGTTGCTTGTCTGGTTTTGTTTCTTGAGCTTCTTTGTTTTGTTCTATTTACAGTCACTGCAGGACAGATATTTGTACGTAAGGTAATTTTTATCTGCACGCTTTTCGTTAGTATATTTTCGTTCTCCTTTTGAGTACCATACTGTTAATTATTAAGATGTAGTAGGTTATGAATGTTAATTGACAGGTCCGAATTACTTGCGAGAATCACTCTTTGCTTCATCTTTTATGATAGATGGTAAATATGATTATCTTCCTAGAAAACATTTCAATTTTTTAGAGTAATTTCTTAATAAAAAGTTTCATTGGTATTCAATAGAACATTGAACTTTCTTCTTTTTCATGAAAGTAAAATATTTTTAAGGGTTTATAAAACCGAATCTTTATTTAAAACGGAACCGTTCATTGCTCTGTGTAAATCTGTCTGGAGCCTGGGCCACTGTCCGGAAAATCAGTGAGAAATGTTATGCGTTGAATAAACTATATGCAAAGTTTAGCTTTTGACGTTAGTATTAATTATCTGCAGATTGTTAAAAGAATGTAATGTATTATTTATAAAGAATTCTCATTAAACATAATTACAGTTTACACCTCCACACCTACTAACTAAAAACTTCATGACTTCATCAAACTAGATATTTTTTGAAAGTTTAAAACATGTTTTCAATCTGATGTTGGAAAGAGGCACGCGAAAAAGTCAGGCTCTCGATTATGGAGATAATAAATTATTGAAATGTTACTTACCCTATATTGAGAAGGAGGGTTTCTGATGCCACCTGCTACATTGTAGGCGCAACGTCATGTCATGCCAGTAAACTAACCAGCCCCACCGAGTTCCGCGGTAGAACAAAGCGAGGTCTTGATCTGTAACAAACATACACATTTGTAACTAATACGTATTGATAAACCAGGTCTTAAAGTATTCCTTATATTTAAAAAAAAAAGGTGAGATATTTTTTAAATGGGAAAACGAACTGAATATGAGACGAAGAAAAGACCCGTCAAATGAACAAGGTTTATTATACTGTCTGTCTAAGAAAGCATCCATGTAAACTGGGAATAACACGAATTATTACAACGAGAAAAAACAGATAGACTTACAAAATTTTAATCTAAAATATTCCAATCGTTTTATTCATCTTTCTCAGCTTTATTAGCGATGTGAGTACATGTTACAAAAGCTTTATATCACAAAATAAATGTTATACTGTAGAATATAAGTAGTTTTACAAGTAATGTTCAAGATAGAAGTTCTAGCTATTGGCAATTAAATATTAGCGCAGAAGTGGTATTAGAAATTCGTTCATTGTGATTACAGTCAACTAGTAATACTGCACATTTTGCACTAATTATTATTAATAATTGTAATAACAAAATAAAAATCGTAATAAAGTATTAAGAGTAATGGTAGCAAGGTGATAAAAATTACTTTTATTCAATATATTATATGTATGAACTATACTACTACTACTTCATGTTCATACTAAACTAAAATTAGCTAATAGCTTTTGAACAGATTAGGCGTTTTATGAATGGGTCATGAAATGTTTAACATCATAATCGACTTACACTTATTGTGATTATAAACTCGAAATTCACTTTGATTTATAAAATTATACCGTTACAGTAATACTAATAATAATCCATATACATTTAGCGTTTATAATTGACCGCATTATTTATTTCAATTAAGGCCTTAGATAAAAAGAATATATAACATAATTATGAATATATATTATAATATAAGAATATAATAATACAATTATTTTTTCAAACCATAATTCTCATGGATTTTATTATGGTTCCAAAGTCCAAAAAATTAGACAATGAAATATTTATTTGTTAAAAGCATATTGGATAAATTTAATAATGTAATAATAATAATCCATATGTATTTAGCGGTCATAATTGATCGCATTATTTATTTTAATTAAGACCTTAGATAAAAAGAATATATAATATAATTATGAATATCTATTATAGTATAATAATATAATTATTTTTTCAAACCATAATTCTTATGGATTTTATTATGTTTACAAAGTCCAAAAAATTAGACAATAAATTATTTATTTCTTAAAAACATGGATAAATTTATAGTAAGTTTAATTTCCTACTTTTTTTAAATTATCTTGACTGCACTCATGAATAATAAATTTGAATTAAAATTACCTTTCAGACAGCCGTTCAATTATTTATTATGTAATGGTTTCATTTTTAATTTGAAATGATTGATTATTAGAAGAAATGAAATAAATGAAAATGATTAAAAATTATAATTAACGGTGACGCAAATATTTACGTATAGCATTTATTAATTTAGCCAATTGTTTTTTCTTTTGTTGTTCTTGTGATTTTTGTTTTGTTATTCTTTCTAAATTCAGTTGTTTTTTTTTAATCATTTTTCATTAGTTGAACGATATGTGACGTAATTTAAACATAAACGTCGTTGTCGGATAAATGATTGCAGCAAACTTGTCATCACACAAGAGAAACAACAAACTCGTTAGCACAAAAATGATTTAAAAATGCAATAGCCACCGATTTTTAGATTTGTTATGAATTTTCATTAAAATTGAACAAACGAGTTTTATATTAAATCTCATTACATCATGTTATTCTTAGCGGTGTTCTTTCAATGTAAATCTTTTGGTTTTAAATATAGTCCTCAATCCATAAAGCAACATAATTTTCATCCAATTTAATAAATATAAAAGTAAATAATGTTGATTGTGTAGAATTCGTAGTATTCGATATGAGAAGGAAATTATAAGCAGAATTAATTGGAAATATACTGGACTGTTTCTGATATAGAATGTAAGGCTGTTTGATCTGTAAATTCAATTTCTAATTTTCATTATGCTTGAAACCGTCAACTTCCATATTATGAACAGATCGTCATATTTGTTACTCCAAAAGATGTGTATCATATCGGAAATAAAGATACCCCTAGAAGAATTCTGCATTTTACCAAAGAACCGATCATGTATATAAATGCAAAGACTAACCCCAGTCCAATTGGTGAAATATTCCAATTTTGGCAAATTAATTACTTTATATCTTTGTATCCCACAGAGTCAATTAATCTGAAGGTGTTATTTAAAAATTTTTGAAACCGTACGCATCTTGTAATGAATATTACATTTTATTCTTTAAAACCCATTACCAAAAGTTTGTTAATAATAAAAGCAATTGTTCATCATGGTTCAGTGTACCATATCATTCTTGCCTGTCTTTGGGCCTTTTACCTGAAGACCAAACTAGACTCATTTTCGCTATTTTGACGAAGAACTAACTCCATGCCGAAAAGGTTTGTTTCGGAACATTTTTTAGTAGAGGTGGATCTTTTGAATTTATCGATAAAAATGTCAGAAACGGTGAATTTTTTTGTACCGCAATTTCAAAAAGCACTAAAATTATAATTCTCTACCAATGAGGCTGGTTTTAATCTCATTCGACGCTGAAATAAATGCACTATGAATGTTCTTTCGAGGTGTTTTATTTTAGTAGTAGCGGTTGACTTGCTATTGCACAAATAAGATCAAAAAACCTGTTTTTTGGATTTTTTAACTCTAGCTTTGTACGGAAGGCTTTCTGGACCCGGCTTTATAGGACCTCTTTTACTCAGCGTTAAATTTCCTATGAGATCTTGAATTTTTGACCCATGATTTTGGGCCACCTAGTATATATATATATNGTTGAGAATCGGACCATGGACAATATGAACTTTTTTGTTCATTTTAGGGTGAAGAATCTACTGGAGAAGTTTGTAGCACGAGTAGCAATTCACCCTGTATATATATATATATACATAATTTTTTTTAACTTTTCTTAAATACAAATGTCAATGTTTTGCACAACAGATAATTTGGGAAGATGTAATGGTAATGTTTGTGGGTTTTTAATTTTAATATCAGTGGAGGGAGAGAAAAGGGAGAGAGAGAGAGAGAGAAAGAGAGGGAGAGAGAGAGAGAGAAAGAGAGGGAGAGAGAGGGAGAGAGAGAATGAGTGGGTGAGTGAGAGAGTAAGCGAGAAAGAGAGATAGAGAAAGACAGAGAGAAGATTTAATGTCCAACTTCGATTAATCCTGACCCATACCCTCAGCGACTGTAAATTATTATTATTATTAGTTTCCTGATGAAGAGGACGTATCCACAACAAGGCAAAAAACTGGGAGTGTTCTTTCAAATTGGACTTATCCTTAGTCTTTCACATAATTACTAAGCAGTCAAAATTTAAAATCAGTATATACACATATATTCGTTGTATTATAAAAATTTATTGAGTATATTATTCCGAGACATTTGTAGCCACACTTGGTTAACCGTTGATCCAGTCCTGATCAAAATGTTTCTCAAAAATTACCGATTTACAGATTTCCGTTGTAAAATTTCTGATTTAAAATAACAACCTGGTAGTCAATTCTGATAAAAACGCAAAAAAATGCAACTGAAAACTGTACGAAGTCGACTAGTAGTAGAAAGCCAATAACAAATCGTCAGACCAAAAATGACGAAATAAATAATTCTGTAACATAAAACTAAAGCAATCAATTATTTTTCTGTGCCCAAGAGTATAAACAAATGGAGGAACCCAGGAAACAGCACATGGACGTCGACTGGCGCAAAGCCAAACCACGTCTGACTAAGGAGAAACACCACGCTAGAGAGCATAGGTGGATCCAGATAATGACTAATGATCACACTGCTGACGACATTTCAACACCTAGCTCTAATCAGCAACCCGCATAACATCACGGTATTTAACCCTACTTCCATTAAATCATCTTGTAAAGCCGGATGTAACAAAATAATTTCGTATTAACCGGATTCCATAGGGAAGCCTCTATACAAAATTAAAATTTCCACTCGTATTTTAAGTTTCAGAACATTCTAAACAGTTTTATTCCTCTATTGTTCTTCTTTAATGTGTACTCTTTTAAAAACAAAATTTCCACTAGCATTTTAAGTTTCAGACTTTACAGTAAAAAAAATTTCCCTGTCTGTCTGTAGTCAATTCCTGATAACCGGGAAAACTCCGAAACCATAAGACCAATTTATATCAAATTTTAAGAAATTGTGCGTTCCTATGAATTTGATACTAATTGGATTAACATATGCGCATGCACAAACATAACATCCCTTATGAATTTCTTTTGCTGAATTTGAATTTTTTATTCAGTCTCATTTAAGTTCTGATCAAATAGATGTTTAATTTTGTGCTTCCGTGGTTTAATTTTAATTTTGAATTTTAAAGAAAGATTGCAAATGAGTGGGTGAGATGTTGTGAAAGAGAGAGTGACAGAGCAGAGAGAACGACAACTATTGTAAAAAGAATATTTATTCTGAAAACATTAAAATTTTCGAATGGAAAGCGTACAATGATCATATTTTGATAAAGACAAATGGCATTGATTTACAAAACCGCGACGTACCGACTGTAAATTGAAAACTTATTTTCAAATTCTAACCTGCGGTCGTGTTTGAAGATATTGCATTACTTATTGGTACATCTGGTCACTTTGAACTGGAAAAAACAAAAACCTTGAAGTCTTTCGTATCGATTATCGTCGTGAAAGAGGAAATTTCTATCGTTTAACACATTTCCTGTTGTTTAAGGAGTAATTTGCAATTTAAATCGGATTCTGTAAGCAAACGACTTCGGATGCAGCAGCCGTTTTAATGAAAATTCAATAAAGGATCAAGATTAGATTCAGAGGAGGGAAACGCGATTCATTCAAGGTAAAACCACGACTGGTAAATTAATTATGGGCGGTTTTCACCTCCTTTCTAATCTTAATTAGTGTCCCTGTTTTCTATGTTATTAGTCACATTTTGGAATCTAAACGATTTAAAATCAGCTGT